TTCCAAGGGATCACAACTCCTCACCAGCAGGGGAATAAAACTAGACAGAGAATGAGTTTGACAAATTGACAGAAGTAGGCTTCAGAAGGTGGGTAATAACAAACTTCTCTGAGATAAAGGAGCATGTTCTAACCCAATGCAAGGAAGGTAAGAACCTTGAAAAAAGGTTAAATGAAATGCTAACTAGAATAACAAGTTTAGAAAATACCATAAATGACCTGATGAAGCTGAAAAAGCACAAGAACTGCGTGATGCATACACAAGTTTCAATAGCCAAATCAATCAAGCAGAAGAAAGGATATCAGAGATTGAAGATCAACTCAGTGAAATAAAGCAAGAAGACAAGATTTAAAAAAAGAGTGAAAAGAAATGAACAAAGCCTCCAAGAAATATGGGATTACATGAAAAGACCAAATCTATGTTTGATCAGTGTACCTGAAAATGATGGAGAGAATGAAACCAAGTTGGAAAACTCTCTTTAGGATATTATCCAGGAGAACTTCAACTTAGCAGGGAAGGCCAATGTTCAAATTCAGAAAATACAGAGAACACCACAAAGATACTCCTTGAGAAGAGCAACCCAAGACACATAATTGTCAGATTCACCAGGGTTGAAATGTAGGAAAAAATGCTAAGGGCAGCCAGAGAGAAAGGTCGGGTTTCCTACAAAGGGAAGCCCATTAGATTCAAAGCAGATCTCTTGGGAGAAACCCTGTAAGCCAAAAGCGAATGGGGGCCAATATTCAACATTCTTGGAGAAAAGAATTTTCAAGCCAGAATTTCATATCCAGCCAAACTAAGCTTCACAAGCGAAGGAGAAATAAAATCCTTTATGGACAAGCAAATGCTGAGATATTTTGTCACCACCAGGACTGCCTTACAAGAGCTCCTGAAGGAAGCAATAAACATGGAAAGAAACAACCACTACCAGCCACTGCAAAAACATACCAAATTGGAAAGACCATAGACACAATGAATAAATTGTATCAACTAACGGGCAAAATAACCAACTAGCATTTTTTTTTTTTTGAGACGGAGTTTCACTCTTGCAACCCAGGCTGGAGTGCAATGGCGCGATCTCGGCTCACCACAACCTCCGCCTCCTGGGTTCAGGCAATTCTCCTGCCTCAACCTCCTGAGTAGCTGGGATTACAGGCACACACCACCATGCCCAGCTAATGTTTTTTGTATTTTTAGTAGAGACAGGGTTTCACCATGTTGACCAGGATGGTCTCGATCTCTTGACCTCGTGATCCACCCGCCTCGGCCTCCCAAAGTGCTGGAATTACAGGCATGAGCCACCGCGCCCGGCCCAACTAGCATTATAATGGTATGATCAAACTCACACATAACAATATTAACTTTAAATGTAAATGGACTAAATGCCCCAATTAAAAGACACAGACTGGCAGATTGGATAAAGAGTCAACACCCATCAGTGTGCTGTATTCAGGAGACGATCTCACATGCAAACACACACGTAGGCTCAAAAAAAAAAAAAGGCAGGTTTTGCAATCCTAGTCTCTGACAAAACAGACTTTAAACCAACAAACGTCAAAAGTGACAAAGAAAGGTATTACACAATGGTAAAGGGATCAATGCAACAAGAAGACCTAACCATCCTAAATATATATGCACCCAATACAGGAGCACTCAGATTCATAAAGCAAGTTCTTACAGACCTACAAAGAGATTTAGACTCCCACACATTAATAGTGGGATAGTTTAACATCACACTGTCAATATTAGTCAGATCAATGAGACAGAAAAGTAACAAGAATATCCAGGACTTGAACTCAGATCTGGTCCAAACGGTCCCAATAGACATCTACAGAATTCTCCACCCCAAATCCACAGAATATACATTCATCTCAGAATCACATCACACTTGTTCTAAAATAGACCACATAATTGGAAATAAAACACTCCTCAGCAAATGCAAAATAACAGAAATCATAACAGTCTCTCAGACCACAGTGCAATCAAATTAGAACTCAGGATTAAGAAACCCACTCAAAACCACACAACTACATGGAAACTGAACAACCTGCTCCTGAATGACTACTGGATAAATAATGAAGTGAAGGCAGAAATAAAGATGTTTCTTGAAATCAATGAGAACAAAGACACAACCTACCAAAACCTCAGGACACATTTAAAGCAGTGTTTAGAGGGAAATTTATAGCACTAAATGCCCACAAGAGAAAGGAGGAAAGATCTAAAATTGACACCCTAATGTTACAATTAAAAGAACTAGAGGAGCAAGAACAAACAATTTTAAAAAATAGAAGACAAGAAATAACTAAGATCAGAGCAGAAGTGAAAGAAGTAGAGAAAGGAAAAACTCTTCAAACAAGCAACGAATCCAGGAACTGGTTTTTTGAAAAGATCAACAAAATAGACCACTAGCCAGAATAATAAAGCAGAAAAGAGATAAGAATCAAATAGGTGCAATAAAAAATGATAAAGGGGATATCACCACTGATCCCACAGAAATACAAACTACCATCAGAGAATACTATAAACGCCTCTATGCAAATAAGCCAGAAAATTTAGAAGAAATGGATGAATTCCTGGACACACTTCACCCTCCAAAGACTAAACCAGAAGAAGTCGAATCCCTGAATAGACCAATAAGAAGGTCTGAAATCGAGACAGCAATTCATAGCCTACCAACTTAAAAAAGTCCAGGACCAGATGAGTTCACAGCCAAATTCAAGCAGGAGTAAAAAGGGAGCTGGTACCATTCCTTCTGCAACTATGCCAAACAATAGAAAAAGAGAGAATCCTCCCTAACTCATTTTGAGGCCAACATGATCCTGAAACCAAAAACTGGCAGAGATACAACTAAAAAAAAAACATTTCAGGCCAATATCCCTGATGAACATCAATGCAAAAATCCTCAATAAAATGCTGGCAAACTGAATCCAACAGCACATCCAAAAGCTTATCCATCAAGATCGTCAGCTTCATACATGGGCTGCAAGGCTGGTTCAATACACACAAATCAATAAAAGTAATCCATCGCATAACCAGAACCAAGGACAAAAACCACATGATTGATGCAGAGAAGGCCTTCAACAAAATTCAACAGCCCTTTATGGTAAAAACTGTCAATAAACTATGTATTGATGGAACATAGGTCAAAATAATTAGAGCTATTTCTGACAAACACACAGTTAATATAATACTGAATGGGGAAAAACTGGAAGAATTCCCTTTGAAAACTGGCACAAGACAAGGATGACCTCTCTCATCACTCCTATTCAACATAGTATTGGAAGTTCTGGCCAGGGCAATTAGGCAAGAAAAATAAATAAAGGTTATTCAGTTAGGAAAAGAGGAAGTCAAATTGTCTCTATTTGCAGATGACATGATTGTATATTTAGAAGACCACAACATCGGGATTCCTTCTCTGGGTCCCCTCCCATGACAGTGTGGGAGCTGTCTTTCTTTCTCTCTCTCTCTCTCTAAAATATCTCTTTTTTCTGAAAAAAAAAAAAAAAAAAAAGTCCTATCATCTCAGCCCAAAATCTCCTTAAGCTGATAAGCAAATTCAGTAAAGTCTCAGGATACAAAATCTATGTACAAAAATCACAAGCATTGCTATATACCAATAACAGACAAACGGAGAGCCAAATCATGAGTGAACTCCCATTCACAATTGCTACAAAGGGAATAAACTACCTAGGAATACAACTAAAAAGGGATGTGAAGGACATCTTCAAGGAGAACTACAAACCACTGTCAAGGAAATAAGAGAGAACACAAACAGATGGAAATACACTCCATGATCATGGTTAGGAAGAATCCACATCATGAAAATGGCCATACTGCCCAAAGTCATTTACACATTCAATGCTATCCCCATCAAGCTACCAGTGACTTTTTTCACAGAACTGGGGGAGGCGGGGGCAGGGAAAAACCTTAAATACCATATGGAACCACAAAAGGGCATGCATAGCCAAGACAATCCTAAGGCAAAAAAAAAAAAAGCTGAAGGCGTCACACTACCTGACTTCAAAGTATGCTACAAGGCTGCAGTAGTCAAAACAGCATGGTACTGGTACCAAAACAGAGATATAGACTTGTGGAACAGAACAGAGGCCTCAGAGTAACATCACACATCTGCAACCATCTGATCTTTGACAAACCTGACAAAAACAAGCAATGGCGAAAGGATTCCCTATTTAATAAATCATGTTGGGAAAACTGGCTAGCCATATGCAGAAAGATGAAACTGAATCCCTTCCTATACCTTATACAAAAATTAACTCCAGATGGATTAAAGATTTAAACTTAAGACCTACTGCCATAAAAACACTAGAAGAAAACCTAGTGGCCCTGTCCACACTCGCCTCCTCACAGCCTTCTCCAACCCCACAGGCAACAAACTCAGCACAGCAAACACGTGGATTCTAGAAGGTTCTGCGGTCTTTATTTTCTCTCTCAGATTTTAGGAATTGACTTAATTAACCCATCAACCTCTCATGGCAAATATTTAAGAAAACAAATTTATATTCAGATTATCATTTTCAGTAAGAAAGTAAGAGGCTGCAGCTCAGTGCACCATGAAGCGGAGACAGAGATGGAGACACCCAGCCCCACCTCTCTGGAACAGGAAAGATGACTGGGGAGGGAACACAGGTCAGCATGGGGACAGGGGTCACGGTGGACACTGGGTGGGCTGTCTCCACCTCCTCACATTATGCAAACAGGGATGCAGACACATTCAGATGCCTTTGCAGAAAGACATGCCAGAGGCTCCTGAAGTCACACAGGGGAGGCGTGAAGAAATCCTGCATCTCAATCCCACACAAGGCAGCTGTCTCAGGCTACAGAAAACAATAGGTGTGATCAAATCCAGGTCAGTCATGGTAAGTGATGAGACTGTGAACTGCCCACTACACACTTGAAACATCCCAATCAAAGAATCCTCACTACACAGTCCTTTCCCTGCTGCCCCACCCCATACTCACTTCAGACCCTCAAAATCTCACCTTTACAAGCCATGAGAGACACATCAGATCCCTGGGCACTGTCGATACCTAGGTAGAACAAAAACAGGACCTGGTCAGAGCCCGCAGGAGATGTGGGACAGGAGGAGTTATAGGGTGGGTGAGCTCCTCCACACACCTGCCCCCATCACTTCCACACAGCCTGAGAGTAGCTCCCTCTTTTTCCATCTGTGGGAAGAAAATGTCTTGTGAGGGGACAGGGAGGAGGCAGGGCCATGAGATCTTAGAGAAGTCTCCTAGACTTGGAGGTTCCAAGAAACTTTCCTCCAAAAAAAGTTTCTAACCACGGTGACTGCACACCCAGGGCAGAATCAGGAAACACGAGGAAAGCAGATGTGGGTCCTGGACCAACTGCCCTCTTAAGGTCTTTCCTTAACAGAAACCTTCCCCTGACTCATGAATGCTGGAATCAGGACCCCAACACTAAAATCATCACGGTGATATATCTGTCCTTCATTGTCACATGTGCTTCACAAAATAGTAAGTACTGGCACACAGGGCCACAGACTGGGTTGGCCCATGTGTGGATGGTGCTTTCCACTAATGAGGCAGGGAACACTTCTACCTGGGGCTTGAAACCTTGAGTGTGACAAGAAAACCCAGACCCCACCCCTCACCCTTTCCCTACCTGAGCCCTTCCTCCTCCACATCACAGCAGTGACCACAGCTCCGATGACTACAGCTCCTAGGACAGCCACAGCAATGATGCCCACAATAGGGATGGTGAGCTGGGAAGACGGCTCTGGGAAAGGAGGGGAAAGTGAGGGGCCCTGACACTGCTGAAGGCTCCAGAAAGGCTCCTGCTTTCCCTGAGAAGAAACACAACTCCCCATCCCCCTCCTTACCCATCCCCTCCTTACCCCATCTCAGGGTGAGGGGCTCCGGCAGCCCCTCGTGCTGCACATGGCACGTGTATCTCTGCTCTTCTCCAGAAGGCACCGACACAGCAGCCCACTTCTGGAAGGTTCCATCCCCTGAAGGCCTGGTCTCCACAAGCTCAGCCTCCTGAGTTTGGTCCTCCCCATCCCACTGCCAGGTCAGTGTGATCTCCGCAGGGTAGAAGCCCAGAGCCCAGCACCTCAGGGTGGCCTTATGGTCAGAGACGGGGTGGTGGGTCACATGTGTCTTTGGGGGGTCTGACAGGAAGAGTCAGAAAATTCAGGCACTTTGCATCTCTCACGGGAGGCCCCAGCAGCACCCTTGTAGTTATTCTGAGAATGGACAGGACACCTGGGGTGGGGAAGGGAGCACAAAACCCAGACACCAGCCTGGACACAGGCACCTGGGATAATCTCTTATTCCTTGGAAAGTTCTAGTCTCTGAGGGTGAAACAGCAACTTCTGGTCCCGACCTGAGTGGAGGCCGAGGGACTCAGAAAAGCTGGAATCAGACCTTCAAACACATTGAGTGTGAGGCAGAGAACAAGGCCTGAGTGAAGAAATCACGGTGCCCCAAGGGTGCTGCAGGGGTCAAAGTGGACCCCTGATCAGTATTCCAGGGACTGTCTTCCCCTCCATTTCCTCAGAGACGTCATCACTTAATTGTCCTAGAGAGCAGAGGGGGCCTCAGAGGAAACTCAGGAAAACTCATGCCATTCTCCATTCAAGGGAGGGAGATATTCTAGCACTGATCCCATTTTCCTCAGATCCTCATGGGAGGCCAGACCAGGAGATCTACAGAAGATGGGGACGGCTCCCCACTGCCCCTGGTACCCGTATGCTGCAGTGTCTCCTTCCCCTTGGCCAGGTATCTTCGGAGCCACTTCAGGCATGTGCCCTCCAGGTAAGCCCTGAGCCCCTCCGTCTCATGGGTGGCCTCCAACTTGCGCTGGGTGATCTGGGCAGCCGTGTCAGTCACTGTCCAAGAGTGCAGGTCCTCGTTAAGGGCGATGTAATCCTTGCCGTCATAGGCATGTTGGTAATACCCGCGGAGGAGGCGCCCATCAGGCCCCAGGTCGCAGCCATAGGTCCTCTGGAGAGTGTGAGACCCTGGCCCAGGCCCCACGGTCAGACCCATCCACCGATCCCCGCCCCCGCCCAGACCAACCCGCGGGGATTTGGGCCTAAACTGAAAATGAAACCGGGTGAAGGCGTTGGGGCTATCTAGGGTCAAGGGTCTGGGCGGGTCCCGTAGCCTCAGTGTGGATCTCGACCCGGAGACTTGGGGCGACACGGACCGTCCGTGGGGGATGAGGAGGGCCGTGATCTGCGCCCAGGGCCGGGTCACTCACCGGCCTCGCTCTGGTTGTAGTAGCCGCGCAGGGTCCGCAGGTTCCCTCGGTGAGTCTGCGCGCTGGCCCTGAGGGTCAGTGTCTCCCGGTCCCAATACTCCGGCCCCTCGTGCTCCATCCACGGCGCCCGAGGCTCCCCTCTCCCACTCGCGGCGTCGCTGTCGAACCGCACAAACTGCGTGTAGTCCACGTAGCCCACGGCGATGAAGCGGGGCTCCCCGCGGCCGGGCCGGGACACGGCGGTGTAGAAATACCTCAAGGAGTGGGAGCCTGGTGGCGAGGAGGGGCTGAGACCCGCCCGACCCTCCTCCCGGCGCGGCTCCCCGGGTCTTTCGCCCCCTCTGGGCTGGCCCCTCGCTCCTCCCGACCCCGCACTCACCCGCCCAGGTCTCAGTCAGGGCCAGGGCCCCTGAGAGCAGCAGGAGAAGGGTTCCCGGCCCCATGATCCCATCATCCGCGTCTGGGGAGAATCTGAGTCCAGGTAGGTGACCCGGGGCTTCAGAAGCGGGACCGCGGCGACGCTGATTGGCTTATCTAGAAACCCGGCACCCAATGGGAGTGAGAACTGGGGAGACGTCATGAGTATCCAGGAGGAAGGACCTGACAGGTTGGCAGAAGTGAAACTCAGGGGAGTGGGGAATCCCCAACGCTGCGCGTCCCCAATGCAGACAGGGCCCTGGGCGCCTGAGACCCTGAGAACCACGCCCAGGAACTAGGACTTTGTCCTGATCCTTCTTCTCCTACGCCAAGCCTTTTTGTCACACTGTCTGCCTGAGTCCTGGCCAAGGATCTGTCTGTGGAAAGCAGAAAGAGAACCCCAGGCTGCGCCCAGCCCCTTCCCCTTCATTTCTCCTCCTGGAATCCCCATCCCTGAACTAGACACCCTACCTCCCACTTCTTACCTCTCCCCTTGGACTCCTGTACAAGGAAGCTCACCACGGGGAACTTGATGCCAGAGAGTGAGCTAACCCTGGGAATGGAGGTGTAGAGACAGGGGTTTTCTCTTTAAACCTGGTGAAGTTTTGAAGGAACCAGACAGAGATTCTCATAGAGACCAGTTTCCTTTGTGTTTATTAATACAATAGGTAGCACAATATTGGTAATCCCTGAATGATTAGAATTCCAATCTGTAAAAGACCTGTGTCAAAACAGCATTACACTTGAACTCTCAAAGCTCCTAAGTTTTACTTTCCTAGACTGTGGATCTGTGATTCTGGATTGTTGCATTTAAAATTATCTTCATTCCCTAGTTGGAGTTTTCCTGTGTGAGTCCAGAACGTCTGAATACAAAGAAGCAGGTTTGTTACTGTATATTGCAACCGGGAGCCTGTAGTCATCACTCAAAATTGCGAGTGCTCCATGCAGTCCCAATGCTCTTCACCAACGCTCAAGCACTGCCTGTTTTCCTGAACTATGCACATCCAAGCAATGAGTATATTTTATTTGGACACTTGGTATTTTGTAACCCTTTTTTTAAAAATCGTAAAGAGGCCATTAGTTTTCAGGAAGTCCTACAAAATGCATTAAATACAAATGCAAAGAACCCCCTGCTAGGCTCTTCCAGGGCTTTAGAATTCTTTCCCCTGCCCGTTTTCCTCACCCACTTCTCCAGCCCTTCTCCCTGCCCCTCTCATCCCTCACATCCTCCCCTCCCCTTAGTCCCCACCACCCTGTCACTCTTGAATTGTGGCACTAACACCCTCCCTCACTTCCTGCCCATGTCTGTTCTCCCCACAGTGCTCAGCAGTCCT